CGGGCCCGGGAGGGGCTCCTGGAGGCCGGAGCTGCCTCCCTCCGGGCCGGGCAGTGGCCCCCGTTAGGACTGACTGGGACTGCCCACCATCCTCGCCAGCGGAGCAGCTGCGATTCCTCGCTCGGCTTACAATCTGGAGTGACCGGCATATCTCCCTTCCCTTAGGGCAGCGTCGCACTTGGGCGTCGGTCTCCATTTGGGCAGAGCTAACACCACCCCCATCTCTTTTCCCCTGCCCGCAGCTCACAGGAGCGCCAGCGAGGTGCCACGCATGGTGTTCGCCTCTCGCTTTCTGGCCTCAGATTCCTTCAGGCTTCTGTGGAGAGATACTATCTTTTATTGTTTTTGTTTTTAATCCTCACCCGGCGATATTTTTCCTTGATTTCTTAGAGAGAGTGGAAGAGAGAGGGAAAGACAGAGAGAAATATTGATTGCCTCCTGCACATGCCCTGACCAGGGTCCGCATGCCCCCGGGAGGATCCTGCAACCACGGTATGTGCCCTTGACCGGAATCAAACCCCGGACCCTTCAGTCCGCAGTCCGATGCTCTATCCACTGAGCCAACCCGGCTAAGGCTACTATTTTATTTTTATTGAATTTTAGAGAGAGAGGAAAGGAGGGGGGTGGGAGAGAGAAATATGTGAGTTGATGTGCCACCAGCACACCCCTACCAGGGAATCGAACCCCCGAATCTGGGCACGTACCCTGAGGGGGAATCGAACCAGCAACCTTTTGGTGCACCTGCTGACTCCCAACCAACTGAGCCACACTAAACAGAAGTATGTGGGGATACTTTAGAGCAGTGGTTCTCAACCTTCCTAATGCTGTGACCCTTTAATATAGTTCCTCATGTCGTGGTGACCCCCAACCATAAAATTATTTTCGTTGCTACTTCATAACTGTAATTTTGCTACTGTTATGAATCGTCATGTAAATATCTGATATGCAGGATGTATTTTCGTTGTTACAAATTGAACATAATTAAAGCATAGTGATTAATCACAAAAACAATATGTAATTATATATGTGTTTTCCGATGGTCTTAGGCGACCCCTGTGAAAGGGTCGTTTGACCCCCAAAGGGGTCGTGACCCACAGGTTGAGAACCGCTGCTTTAGAGTGTAAACCTATAACCCTAGCTAGTTTGGTTCAGTGAACAGAGCAGACTGAAAGATCCTGGGTTCAATTTCTGTCAAGGGCACATGCCTGGGTTGCAGGCTCAACCCCCAGTAGGGGGTGTGCAGGAGGCAGCTGATCGATGTTCCTCTCTCATCGATGTTTCTAACTCTCTCTCTCTCTCCCTTCCTCTCTGTAAAAAATCAATAAAATATATTTAAAAAAATATTTTAAAAAAGAAAGTAAAACTATAAAGAAATTTAAGTGTGTGGTTATCAAAAAAGACAGGATAGTGGCTACTTCTTGACCTGCATAGTAGCAACACAAGAATTCATTTTACAATAGTTTATTAAACTCTATAACTGGTTTTGTGTATTTGTATGTCTGTAATATATTACACAATTTTAAAAGAAATAAAAAAAATGATTCAGAACAGCCCTAGCTGGTTTAGCTCAGTGGATAGAGCGTGAGCCCTCGGACTGAAGGGCACGCGTACTTTGGTTGCAAGCTGGATCTGCAGCCCTGGTCAGGTGAGTGTGGGAAGCAACCAATCAACGTGTCTCACATTGATGTCTCTCTCTCTGTCTCCCTCCCTTCAATGGGCCTGGTGGGCATGACTCGGTGCTTGAGCATCAACCTATGAACCAGGGTTCCGTTCCTGGTCAGGGCACATGCCTGGGTTCCAGAGTCGATCCCCAGTAGGGGGCATGCAGTAGGCAGGCAATCAATGATTCTCTCATCATTGATGTTTTTATCTCCTTGTTTCCTCTCTGAAATCAATAAAAATATATTTTAAAAAATAAATAAAAATCAATGGAAAAATATCCTCAGGTGAGGATTAACAAGAAAAAAAAATGCTTCAGTACTTGAGAAAGAACTAGAATTGAGAACAAAAATCTGATTCCCTGAAATTCAAAGTTAGGGACTGAATTAGCCTTGGAAAAACCAGAAGTGAGAGTGGGCCAAGGTGTGAGGGTTTCCGGCACTTTCATAAAATGAGTTCCATAGAACATTAGTTCTGGAGGATGTCACATAAATGGGTAAATTGGGAAATGGATAAATTTTTTAAAAATTATTCAGAACAGCCCTAGCTGGTTAAATATTCAATCCACCAAAAACTTATGAGCCTGCCCTAGCTTGTTTGTCTCAGTGGATAGAGCGTCAGCCTGCGGACTGAAGTGTCCCGGGTTCGATTCCAGTGAAGAGCACATGCCTGGGGTTACGGGCTCGATCCCCAGTGGGGGGCGTGTAGGAGACAGCTGATTAATGACTCTCATCATTGATGTTTCTATCTCTCTCTCCTTCTCCCTTCCTTTCTGAAATCAATAAAAATATATTTTAAAAAAAACAACAAAAAACTATTAAGAGCCTTAAAGATCAAGCAGTAGTCCAAAGACCATAAACTTGATGGGCCAGTCATTGTCTAAAGTCAAATCGCTTGTTGATGGCAGGACTACTCAGAGCCCTTAACTTTCTACTGTGTTCTGAATGTCGAAAAGGTGGGACAGACTCTGCAGTATTCCTCAAATTTATAAGTCCAAGGTGTCTCAGACCCAATTAATGCACCATCTTTTTAAAAAATATTTTATTGATTTTTTTACAGAGAGGAAGGGAAAGGGATAGAGAGTTAGAAACATCAATGAGAGAAAAACATCCATCAGCTGCCTCCTGCACATCTCCTACTGAGGATGTGCCCGCAACCAAGGTACATGGCCTTGACCGGAATCGAACCTGGGACCCTTTAGTCCGCAGGCCGATGCTCTATGCACTCAGCCAAACCGGTGAGGGCTCATGCACCATCTTTGATTCAGTCAGTTTCATCTCTCTCCTAGCCCCTTGGTTCCTTGTTCATGGAAAACCTTGGTGCTACTTTGGCCTTGGCCATCGTCTCATCCCCTAGAACTGGTGGCTGTCTTGACCTCCCCTGGAGTAAATTTGGGAACCAGCAGAGCGTCCATTGTGCAACTCCAGCACCCATGCCCAACCCTCTGGACCACAGAGGGTCTACTCCTCCCACTACCCATGTAGTCAATTGATGGTGTGCCATCTAGTTTAGCTTCCCGAGCAGCTGCCAAAAGGGGCCAAGTGATGCAGCCTGGAAGTATAAGAGAATTAACACTCTGGGAGACAAATTCTGAGATGAGATGAAAGGAGCCAGCAGATAAAAAATCTCCCTTCTTCCCTCTGAGGAACTGCTTTGGGGTGGCTGTGTTCTTCATGACCGGCCAGAAATATCTCACGTGACTGAGCAAAGAGCCGGGTCTCTCCGACACTTTGCTTCTCTCCTATCCTGCCTTGCCTCCACTTTCCCTCATCTGACTGCCCTGGGATTGCATCTAGACTAAAACATTGACGTTTTCCCCCAGGTTCTGTTTTCCAGAGAGCCCGAGAACAGGGCATTACCCGTGTCTTGAGGATCATCTCAGGGCCAGTTTTCCATGGAGCTCTCACTGGGAAATGCTGGTGTAAAGAGCTCTTCTTTGGTGGGACAGGAGCCTAGCCTGGCCATTGCTGGCTCCCTCCTGCCACACACTTCCTCTCAGGCCTCTGTCCATCTGAAGTCTCCAGAAAAAAAGGCTGAAGGAAACCCCAACTCTTTCGGCAATAACAGGAAGAGAGCACTGTGCATTTATTAAAACAACATATAACAAACTCAGTTACCATCCCCTCTGTCAGGGATAGACTCTGAAATACAGTACATTACCCTCTATCTAAGATCGCCAGTCACACAATGACCGGGCGTTATCATACAAAAGTTCCTTTACAAAAAGCACCAAATTGGCATACATATACAAGTTTATACAAAAATCACATTTTAAAAATGTACAAAATATTCCATTTTGCACCAATGTAGAAAAGTATCCTGTGTGGTGGTTTCAAGCACATTTCCAACTCTGCTTCAGTGACTGCTGGACACAGCGGTGGGGGTCCTACTCCTAGTCTCTGCTCTTCACGCAGAGAGAAGACACACCTCCCCATTGTCCCTCCAGGGGCCCCGACCCCTCCCACCCCGGGCCTGTCACCAAGGCAGCTGGGCCCATCCCACCCTTCCCAGTCTCTCTGCATCCAGAGGTCTCTTCCTCGTCCAGCTTCTTACTGGTGTCCTGAGAGAAAAAGAAAAAGAAACGCCAAGTGA